CCTCGGGGCTGATCTCTGTCTGGCCGTGGGGCAGGTGAGAAAGATGAGTCCAAACATCTGTCCTATGCGTGGCTGTCATTCCCACAGCTGTCAAGTCTCAGAGTCAGAAGGAAACATGGAATTCAGGGGTCCATTGTCCATACCAGGGCAAGAATCCCATTGACAGCCTCCTTGACTACTGTGCCTGGGGTCTCCATCTGAAAATGCTGGGGTGTTTATTCCACTGTCAGATCCCTAAATGGTCTTCCCCAGACTAAGCTGATATCTACTTCCCCAACACACAGACAACGCAGGTTCATTTCCCTGCAGCCTTTGGAAGAATGCTAAGCACATCCCCCTTCCACCAGCCCTGATGCTCTCCTTCATGAAATCTGAAGTCACCTTCCATCCTCTTTCTGCAGGTAACTTCAATTCTTACTGTACTGCAATGACCTTATTATTAATTCTACTGCTTTCCACACCCAAAAAATCCATCTCCACTGCTCTCTTCACCTCTCTCCTGGCTCAGAGAAAGATGAGTCCCCTCTAGTCAAGACTCACTGTTCCTCCACTCTAGCCCACCACCCATGCCTCCGCCAGGACCCGATCCATGAAGTCCAGCCTCTTTCACCTCTGCTACTTGCTTCCCCCATCTCGCTGTCCACTAGCTCTTTTTCGTCTCCCTATAGATCCTCAGGAGCTTTTGATTTCCCATCAGAGAGGGGAAAATAAACCCCTTGGTCCCCCCAAGCCTCTGATCCACTTTGTTGATTCTATCCACAGCCTGATTTTTCAAAATTAGAGTGCACACCTGCTGCCTCCACTTTTCCACCTTCCATTTGCTTCTCTCCCTTTGATGTGGCTCTGCCCTCGCTCTGCCACCACACCACTCTCTCCAAGGTCACCGGTGTGCTTGCCACCATTTGCAAAGACCCCTTCGCATCCCCACCTACTTTCCACAGCATCGGACACTGTTGGCAACCTCCTCCTCCGTTAAAGTCTTTCCTCACTTGGCTTCCATGACAACCCTCTCTCCTCATCTCCCTCTTCCCTCACTGACCAACCCTCCTCTGTCCATCCTTCCCACATTAGTGCCAGATTCATCTCCTGAAAACACAGCTCTGAGAGCACCCCATAAGCACTTCTCTGTTTGGAAACCTTCAATGGCTCACCACTGCCTGTAGAAAAAAAATCATGGCGTTATCAAATCATACAACTATTTGCAATACATAATATATAATGCAATAATATGTCAGGGGGTACACATTTCTTTCAATAGCAGAATCCATTAAGAATGATCTTTCTCAGAAACCCAGTTTCTGAAGAGTGAAAATAGCAGCTCCTATTGAAGTGGGGAGCAGCAAACCCAGGAAATTCTAGAGCTTTTAAAGAACAATTGGAAACCACTGAACAAATTCAATTCCTCGATCTGCAGATGAGAAAAAGGAGGCCCAGAGAGAAGATGTGATTGGTAGAAGGTGGCACAGCATGGGAGTGAGACAATCAACACATTTTCATTAAGTGCCTGCCAAGTACCAGGTACCTCGTAGGTGCCAGGGAGGAAGGAGAGAACAAGACCAACATGGTGCCCCCTGGAGGGCTGACAGCCCAGTGGAGAATGAATCCACTACTATCAACAAATACTGAAGTGGTTACAATATGCAAAGGAGACTTTAAGAGTGGACAGTAGCAGACTTGCCTGGTCTGAGGGCAGAGTGAGCCACATATAAACTGAGCCCTCAAGGAAAAAGAGGGGAGAAGGGGAAGAAACAGCTTAGGGGAGACTGAGGAAGTAAAGGTCGCTGGAGCCCTAGAGCCAGGTGAGACAGAAGGAAGTCACCCCAAGGCTTTGCTGAGAACTTGACACTGACCTCAGCGGCTGGCTGACCAGGGAAGGGGTCTCCAGTGTTCTGGAAGACAATCCATTGCTAAATGCAACATGGTATCGTGGATTGGATCCTGGAACATAAGATAGACATTCATGGAAAAAGGAGAAATCTGGACAAATTTTGCAGTTCAGTAAATAGTGTTATACTAATATTAATTTCTTAGTTTCAACAAATATAACATGATTCTATAAGACATTAGCATTAAGGAAAGCTGAATGAAACATTGTGCCATCCTTGCAACTCCTCTGAAAATCCAAACCTGTTTTAAAACTATAGATTATCCCTCAGGCACCATAGCAGAGAGAAGCAAAACTAGACATGGGAAGAGTGCAGTAATAATGACTAACACTTAAACAGTTCTTCCTATACACCAGGCTCCAAGCTCTCACTCTGTTTAATTCATTTAATCCTCACAACTCCGTGAAGTGAAATCTATTATCTCCCGTCATTTTACAGATAAAGAATCTGAGCACAGAGAAGTTAAGTCACTTGTGCAAGGACACCCTGCTACTAAATAGAAGAGTTGGGGAAGAAAGAAACAAGAATGGCTCTTGGCCTCTCAGCTTAAGAGTAGGACCCAGAACCTAGTCTCTATGTTGGGTCCTGTGCTGTTTTGCACCACTGAAAGAAACATCCAGACCTTTCATTTATGATTGCAACTACCTGCCCCTTTCTCTTATACAGTCCCCAAAAGCCAATCAAACTGGAGCTCCTGCTGTTCCCACACAGGGCCCCACCTCTCAGAAATTTCTCTCCTCCATCTCCCTTGGTCCTTATCTGATCCATCCTTCCAGACTTCAGTCAAATGTCACCTCTTCCAGAAACCTTCCCAGCTCTCCACAATGAGAAGCACTCCTCTCCTCTAGACACCAGCATTTGGGGAGACCCCTTTGGCAGCAAACAACTTTCTTCCTATGATATAATAACTTGAGTAAGGCTGTGGCTGCTATTTACTTTTGTATCCTCAGTAGCTAGTAGTAGGTACTTCAGGAGATATTTGTTGAGTGAGTCATCTCCCTAAGTAAATAAGCTCTCCTCTTTTCCTTTGCCCCTCCCCTGACTCCATGTCCTACCCCTGCAACCTACACACACACACACACACACACACACACACCTGGCTCCCATGTTTTGCATGTTTTAGGGGCTTGTTTAAAGACGATGAGTGTACTATCTCATTTACCTGCACCATTCTCTCCACCCAAGCCATCCCCAAGTAGCCACGCCAACCCCAGACACAGCCTCTCTGGGTGCCCATTTTAAAAGCAGAAAACCAAAGAAACTTTTCCCAAAGATGGAGAGGGTGGGCGAATACAAGCAGGGAACTAGCAGACATCTGCAAATGGCCAGCCAAGCCCATTCATTCAGCTCCTACAATGTGCCCGGCCGAGCCTGAAGCCTGGACAATGAACCCACTCAGTCAGTCCTGGTCCTTAAAGTACTGAAGGGCCAGAGCACAGGGGCCCAGGGACAGACTGGCTACCACAAATGAAATTCAGTAAGGAATTTCCCAGCATAAAACCTCCTAGTGGCTACCTGGCCTTCAGGGATCTGCAGGCCCATCCTTTCCCCAAGTCTTAGGCCCAGGACCCAACCAACATTGTGAGTCCTACTCACCCTGCAGTTGCTGGGCTGTGTTGCAAATGCGGACCCCTCCCCCCTCCTTAAATCCAGCCTGCTTAAGGCCTCCCTACCACACACATGTTTCTGTCTGAGAGATAACACACTCAGCCCCCTCCTCCCAGAAGCCTTCCCTGATCCCTGCCCCTCCCCAGGCTGAAATGCACTGGGCACTTCCTCCAAGACACATCGCGCTGTGTGCACATCTCTGGGGCACACTCAGAGTAAATGCCTGCTAGCAACCTCTGTTTCTATGTTTGTCTTCTCCCCTGCACTCCCCCCCCACTACCTTTAGTGACCATGTCTCTGTAGCTCCAAGCCTGGCACAGTTTTTGGTACGAAGAAAGCCTGGTTACATGTGTTAAATACAAAAGATGTACCTGTGAGTGTGCGTGTGTGCTGAATTAGACTACTTCCGCAGGAAACAGAGAAGCCCAGGGCCAGATCCCAGGTAGTGAGGAAGGGGGGCCCTCCCTAGCCCATGCTTTCTGTTCCTCCTAATCCTAGGAGTTAGAATTTACTTGTTATCAGGAACCAGCAACTTCCTCTTGCTCCTGTCCGCTAGGCAAAGGGCAGCAATGGGCAAAGGGAGTGTTGTCTGGTCCCGTCTCTGGGGGAGAACTCGGTTCTCCTTAGTGGAAAACTATCTTAAGGTAGGAAGTCCAGAGCGAGGGAAGGAGGAGAGGCCAAGCTTTGGGCTGCCAAGGGCCCCTGAGGATCCAGCCCCCTTGGCAAGAAGCTGACCACACCTGGATGTGGTGGTGAAGGGTGATGGGACGTCCCTGCCCTGCCTCCCACGCTGGATGGGTCACTTTCTCGGGAATCCCACAAATCCTTCACAAGAAAAAAAAAGGTGGGGAGCAGAGCTCAGGTCCACGCTGTTTGGGCAGAGGGCTTCTGTTTTTTGGAAAAGGAACCCCTGAAGGGGCAGGAAACCTCAGTGGTCCCATCTCACTCCCTGAAGCCTTCCCCCGACTTCTCCAGCAACTTCCGGTCGGTCCTCGCGGTTCTGCCTCTCCATTTAGCGGCCAGGTGATGCAGAGGCGAGAGCTGGTGTTCGAGTCCTAGCCCTGCCACTTTCTGTCCTTGCGCCCTAGGCGAGTCGCCATCACCTCCTTTGGGCCTTTGTCTCCTCATCTGCAGAATGGGGCCAGGGCTGGAGCAGAGGCCCTGGAGAGGCCGCTTCAGCTCGGACACAGCTAGATCCGGTCTCCTCCATTCCGCACCCCCCGCCCCCCCCCCCCCCCCGCTCCTCCAGAGCCTCCCCCCTTAACTCCACCCCCACCGAGCGGCTTCTCCCCCGACGCCGGCCGCTAGGGGTCACTGCCTCCCTTTGTCAGACCGCGGAGGGCGCACAGCCCTCCGGCCCACTCCGGGGCTGCAAGGCTAGCGAGGGGGCATCTCCCGAGCCCGCGGGTCTGGGCGGGACCCCCCGCCCGCGCTGGGGACCCGCCTCTGCCTTGGGCGGGAAGGTGTGCGCGCTGGGGCGGAGGCCGGGCCGGCGCGGGCCGCGCGTCGGGAGCCCGGAGGGGGTTAACGCTAACCCCTCCCCTCGGTCTGACATCACGGGAGAGCGGGTGAGAGGCTGGAGCTCGGCGAGTGAGAGAAAGAGAGGGAGAGGAGCGAGCGCGGCTCGCCTCGGCGCCCCGGCAGCTCCACATTGTTGCGGATCGCCGGGACCCGGCGCGGCGAGCGGCGGAGACGCGCGGCGCACCCGGCTCGCCTTCCCCGCGCCGAGCCGCGCAGCCCCGGCCTCGCGGGCAGCTGGCCCCGGAGGCGCACGCCCGCCCGCCGCCTGGGCCCCGAGCCCACCGCGCCGCCCGCCCGCCGCCTGGACTCGTCCCGCCGCCCTCGGAGCACGGCCGGCCATGGACGCCTGCAAGTTGGAGCCGAGCGGGCGGGTGTGAGCGCGCCGGGGGCCGGGAGCCCGCGCCGCGCCATCGGGCAGCGGGGCGCGCCGGGGGTGGGTCCCTCTCCCCAGCCCCGCTCTGCGTGGAAGAAGAGGGCGGGGACCGGCGCGGGGGGGAGAGCGGAGGAGGAGAAGGGGCATGACTCGTGCAACTTGCGGCGGGCATCTGCCGAGCCTCTGAGCCGGCGGCGGCGGCCCGGGGCCGGGATTGCTGCCCCGCCGAGCCCACCCAGCCCACCGCGCCCCGGCCGACGGCTGCGGCTGACCTGGATCCTCGGGGCGCCCGGCGGCCGGCAGTGACCTGCCTTCGTCTTCCGGGCGGCTTTCTGGGGCGCGAGGAGCGCGCAGCCCGCGGCCCCGCGCGCCGGACCCGGGACCCCGGACCCCGATGGCCCGGATGGGGCTTGCGAGCGCCGCTGGACGCTGGTGGGGACTCGCTCTCGGCTTGACCGCGTTCTTCCTCCCAGGTAAGCCGGCTCCGCCTCTGCCCCCCTCCTTAGCCCCCCACCCGCGCCTCCCCGGGGCTGGGAGCTGGATGGCGGGCACGTCTGGGTTGCAGGGAGCGCAGGAGCCAGAAAAGTTGGGTCACGGTTTAGGTGAGGGTGGGGAGCGCGGCAGCGCGGAGCAAGAGACGTGCAGAAGCCGAGCAGCCCGCCCTGCAGGGGAGCAGTCGGATCCACGTCTCCGTGCAGCGAGAAAGCACTTTCTCCGCTCAATTTTTCATAAAAATAATAATATGTAATAGCGTTCTATTTATTTAATAACCAGCTCTCAGCTCGGGAAGCAGTTTGGAAACACTGCATGTTACATAAATGCAAAATAATCACCGTAATCGCCGTCTTGGGGCATGAGACAACAGCCCCAGGGGGAGGGCGTCACTCTCGGAGCCGGTGGGCTGTGGCTGGAGTGGGTGCGGAGAGGAGGGGGGCTTCGTTTCTTTCGCTGGCCTCTTCGCCTGCCGGTTTCGGGTACTCCGGCTCCTTCCCGCCCCGCGTCTCCCCAAAGCGGGCTCCGAGAGCCGCTCCTGCGGCAGAGGCACCTTCTCGCTCACCTGCGGTTCGCTGCCCGAAGGGAGAGGCGGGAGGCGCAGCGCCGGGACCTCCCGGCCCCGAGCAGGGCTGGGCTGCGCCTCGGGACTCCGCGCCCAGTTTCGGGGGCTCTCCCCGGAGCCGTCGCCGCGGATTTCGAGCCGGCCAGGTGGCTGCATGACCCACTTTCTCGAGGGTGCCCCGAGAGTCCTTCATAGAAGTGCCGGCGGCGCAGGGGTTAACCCGACAACGACCCAGGGGTGGCCCGCCGTGGCCCCTCAGACGGGTGGGGTGGGGGCGGAGGCTGGGACCGGCCCGGGCTTATTGTGCTGGGGAATGAACTGGAAAATGCGTTTAGAAGGCAAATCCGACCGAGTCCTCTCGCCTGGATTTAACCCTTTCCCTTCCCTGGGGAAATTGCCTGGCTCCCCAGGTGGCTGGGGATCCGAGAGCCGTCGGGGGTGGTGGTTTCCTCTGGGAGGAGACGTGAGGTGAGGGGACCTCCTCCCGCCCAGCTAGGTGCGGGCTCGGAGGGTGGGGGCTTGGCTGGAGCACGTGGTCCTGGCGGAATGAGGGGTCTGAGTACAGAAGGACTAGCCCTGCTTGGGGCAAGAATACTAGATCGCAGGCGCAGCTGGCAGCGAAGGGGAGGAGATGCCTGCGATGCCGCAGACTCCAGGGCAGTGTGTTATCTAGGGCCTGCCTGGCTGCAGGGGTTCAACACTCCTGTTAGACTAGACCCTGGCCTCTTTCACGTCTATGCCCCTTGTGCTACCAGCTCACTGGCAGGGCTCAGCAAATCTCACAGTTGAGGGTAGCAACAAAAGCAGTTTGTGGAAGCCTGCACCTGTGCCCCTGCCCCTGCCTGCAGGCTGTGGGTTGCTGCCCTGCTAGGTGTGGGTTGGGGGGATGGGGGATTCCAAGGCACACAGGTGTCACTGCCCATTTCAAAGGGGCATGACTGAGTCCCTCTCCCAGAGGGCAGTCTTTGTGAGCGTGGGAGGGCTTCATCTCACACTGCACCTACTGGGAAGTTGGCAGGAGATATCAGAAGCCAGGCTCTACATGGGATCTGACCACCAGGCACCCCTCAGTTCCTTATTGTCCACACCCAGAACCCCGGGAAGGAGAGGTTCAGTCTGGAACACTGAGGGTTAACCTAATCCTGGGTTGGACAAAGGTCAGGAAGATTTGGGGGAGGGGGGCCTAGCTTACCCCCCACCACTCTCCCCTCCTTTTGTTATTCTTCTCCAGTTTCCTGATGCACAATGGTTAATTCCTTCTTTGGGGGGCTGGAGGCCTGCCCTGCTCCACTCTACTCTGGACGTGGGGCAGGGAGCTGACATGCTCACCTGGCTCAAATGTGGACATTACCCCACACAAAACCCACATGAGGGGTGGGATGCCAAGAAGGAACCTCAGCATCTACTAACACTAACTAAGCTTGCCTGCGCTCCCCTCCACTGGTCACGATTGTTATGACTGGGGAGCAGCAGCAGCAGCCTAAGTTCCCAGCTCCCCCAAGCCCTTTACCTAGCACCTATGCCCCCTTGTGCCTCCTCTGTGAAGGGAGGCAGGCAGATGTGGTTGTACCCATGTGACCCTTGGTCAAAGGCTTAAGGATCCAAAAGTTGCCCTTCTCTCCATACCCCACATTCCACCACCCATCGGCTCTCTCCAGTTGCCCCACTGCTGCCTCCCTCTGGGGACTTGCCATCCCAAAGCTCTTTTCTGGGTTCTCCTGGGGAAGGGAGCACGGAAGCATGAGGAGGGGAGCCTTTTGGGGGAAGGTGAGGAGGGAGGTATTCCCCCAGTGTATGTAATGGCCCCCTGACTTCAACACACTCCCCATCTGGCTACTGAAAACTAAACCCAGAAGTGTGTTTCCAACCACACAGACTTCACCAGGGGAGGGGGCCAGTGGGGCATAGGGGCTGGGACCCAAAGAGGGGCAGGTGCAGGCAGAAGGAGTCTTGAGAACCCGCCTTAGAAGCAGGTGTGCTGAGCTGGGGTCCCACCTACACCACACCCTCCCTAATTGGCTTCCCCAAACCTTTTGTCTGGAAAGAGAACACACACCCCAGGTGTCATGCACACCCTCGGAAGACCTGTCAGGCAGCACCCCTTCTTTGTAGCCAATGCAGAGCTCACTGTCATGGTGGTTTCCTTCAAAGCTCGAGTGTCAGGGCTGTGGGCTTATTTTCCTCTCTCCCTGGTGCTCAGACAGTGCCATGCTTGGGCTTGCTGAGCAGGACGTTATAGCAGAACCAATTCTGCTGGCCGGGCTTGGCAGTGTGTGCAAATGGGACTCTCACCGCCCGTTTCTGAGGCAGCGCTGTGGGGAGTGTCTCAGACTCAGTCAACGCCTAATAGTCAAGGCCAGAAGGAAGGGGGAGAGATGGTCTGAGCCAGCCCCTGACTGCGTGGCCTGGAAGGGTCTCTAAGGCTGAACTTCTGCACCCAGCACAGGTGGCCCGTGGCTGCAGGATGCTGGTCTAAGACTGTGATAGGGAGTCCCTTGACAGCCACTCATCTCACATGCTGCATCCACCTCATTGGCCCCGTCCTCACCCAGGACCCAGTTGAAAGCTGCCAGGAGGGCCACACTGCCAGAACCCTAAGGCTGCTGGCTGAGCATGTGGGCCAGGCAGAGGGTCGCCCCGTTCTGTGTGTGAGATACTGCCATTGTTTAGCAGCTGACTAATGTTCATTGTTCAGCACAAACAGAAAACACCCAAGGGAGGTGTGAATGTACCTTCGATTTTCCTGATTGTATCTTCCCTGGTTAACCTGGTAAATTGAATGACTCCCATCTGGGGGAGGGACAGAGCAGGTAGTCTGTCTGTTCACCTGTTTTGCTGATTTTTTTTTTCTTTGCAGTTTGAATGGTAGTCAGTCTAGAGTGGACATTAGCCAGTTGTGGGACTTAGGCTATACCAGCTTTGATGATCTGCATGAGGCCTCACCTGCAGTAGAGAGTGGGTGCATGGCAGGCTTGGTGTGCTTGGGCTGGTTATCTACAACACATGTGCCCACGAGGAGTCGTGGGGATGAAGCTAAGAAGGTGTGGGCACTGGTATCTGTGGGTCACGGTGGGACAGGCCCATAAATACATATCAAATATATATTCACATATAACTGATTTCTTATGGCTTTTTGACTAAGAATCTGTACATGGGTCTAAGGCTTGATAATCTTTCAGGCCAGAGTATCAGAGTGTCAGTGGGGGTGACCTGCCCTTAGCTAGCTCCTGGCAAGAGGAGCTGCTCAGTTCTTTGGGTGAGGGCAGCTTAAACAGTGCTTTCTTATCCTGTTCTGCCCTTCGCTTTCAGTAGGACCTCCACATCTTTGTGGGGAGATGCCCGCCTGGAGAGACTGTCTTCTCTCTCTGCCCTTCTCCCGTCGAAAAGAACCTGTGTTAACTGGAGCCTGACTTGTCCTGCAGCTTCTCATGATCCCTGAATGGCTGGGAGGGGCTGTGGAGATAGGTTTTTAGCTACTAATTTAGCATATTTGCTTCCTGCATGAAAGCTTGAGGAAAAAGATGGGGGTGCGGATGAAAGTGGCATACTTGGGCCTCCCCGGTGGCGCAGCGGTTGAGTGCTGGGTTGTGAAGCTGCCCGCAGCCTCTACAGCGCCGGTTCGATCCTCGGCTGCTCCCCGGCCACCGGAGGAGGGTCCCGCTTGGCACGCAGACCTCTCCTGCCGCCCGCTGCTCCCCTCAGCAGTGTACTTCAGTCCTTCTGCCTGCTCAGCTCCCCGCTCTGGCTCTGGTGAATTCTCTCACCCTCCCGCGCTTCTGACTGTACCCAGTGCTTATATAAATAAATAAATAAAAATAAATCTAAAAAAAAAAAAAAAGAAAGTGGCATACTCTGGACATTAAAAAAAGGCATGAATGTGGACTTGGCTACCCCACGAAAACCCAGCAGAATCACATGTGTGCCCAGGTTGCCAACACATATGTGCCTGCGAGCATACTGGGTTAGTGCAGCTGAGAGCAGGAGCCCCTGGCTGACAAGTGGAAAAGAAGGGCTGAGAATGGGGAGGAGGGTAGTCCCGGGAGCCCAGCACCTTGTGCCCAAGTCCAGCTGGAGAGTGTTTCTCCCCCATGATGCCCACCCTGCCAGAGAGACCAGGTCTGCAGAACCAGCAGCAGATGGAGCTGGAACAGGAGGTAACTTAAGATCAGGATCGCCTTGCAAAGGGAATGCCCTGCGCTAGAGATAACACCCCTTAGTCTAGTTAACCCTTGAAACTCTGGATGCCCTGGTGCTGTTGGGAGCTGGGCAGTGGGAAGCAGGAAGAGACACGAGAAAACACGTCATACCTAATATCTGAACCCTGACCTATTCCAAAAGAGAGCTGAACTCAGTGCAAGGGGATATCCAAGAAGGACACAGAAAGACCTCCTGAAAGACTTTTCAGGGTCACAGGTA